CTGGGGTGGGCCAATCCTGTGCTGCGGCCCCGGGAGATTCGCCTCCCCATGAAGGGTTGGGCTGCCCTCTCGGGCAGGGGAGTCTTTGTTGTACCAGTAGTAGGCCGTCGTTTTTAAAAAAATTGGAGTCCTGGCTGGCCACGCATGGCTGTGCCAAACCTCGTGGGTGGTGTTGCTTTAAGCGCCGCGGCAGCACGGGGAGAAGGGAAAGCAACGGCAGAAGGTCTCCTGATACAAAGTGTCCCACCAACGCCGAGGTCAACGCAGGCAGCACCATATCCGGGTATGCAACAAAAGTACTTCCTAACAGCCAGCCCCCCGCCATTCCCCCCCATTTTGCATGTTTAATATAGGCCTTAATTTGGGGGGAGGGGCTTAATTTGATTTTATGCCTATAAAGCATGCTGGGACTTTCTATTGGGGGAGGCCGTATTGTTGGAGAAACACGGTAGCAATTCAATATTTTCAGAGGAGAAGCTTCGTAATATTAGATTTACAACTCTTAATGCCTTTTTAGCAATGCTGTTACAGTGAGCTCTGGCACTTAGATCATTAGATATGAGTACTCCGAGGTCCTTGACAGAGTGAGGGTCATCAATGAAGTCATATCTGCCTGGCTTGTATTTGGTGAACTGATTTTTTTTACCAATGTGTAGGGCAGAGCATTTGTTGGTCGAGATTTGGAGTTGCCAATTGTTTGACCATTCAGACACATAATCAAGGTCACTTTGAAGAGCAGTAGCATTGTCGGTGGTGTTGAATAGTTTTACATCATCCGCGAAGAGGACACAGTTGCTTATAAGGTGATCGCAAAGGTCATTTATATAGAGTATAAAGAGCATGGGTCCCAAAACACTGCCTTGGGGGACACTGCTGTTAACTGGGGCACTCCCTATTGATATAGCACTCCCTATTTTTACTATTTGTTGCCTGTTTGACAGGAATGCAATAATCCACTTATGAAGGGATCCGGAAATGCCAGAAGAGTTTAATTTTAACAGTAGTTTGTCATGTACCACCGAATCAAAGGCTTTGCAGAAGTCTATGTAAATTGCGTCTATTGCTTTACCCTGGTCAAGTAGAGTAGTCCATATGTTTTTGCAGTGTAGGAGTTGTAGGTTGCAGGACAATTTTTTCATGAAACCAAATTGTTTTTTGGAGAGTAGGTTGTTTGACTCTTAAGTGGAGGGTGATGAATTGGTTAATGATTGATTCCATGACTTTGCACGTGACATAACACAGTGAGATTGGTCTGTAGTTTTCAACCAGGCTGGGGTCACCTTTTTTGAAGATAGGGATGGCCGTAGCTAAGGACCATAGATTTGGTAAGGAGCTGGTTCTGAATGATATATATAATGCTTAAGGGTTCTGCTATGGCAGAGGAAAGCTTATTTAAGAAGTATTTTTTTAAGAAGTTTGATCCTCTCAGGCCTCATTCAGGGATATTTAGGAGGGATAATTTTGAAGAGAGTTGTCCATTGGGGAATGGAGAGAAGCTTTTCAAAAAGTTCCTGTCTTCAAATAGCATTATTGTATAGATTTATCTCTGCTGGTTCAGAAATAAGGCTCAAAGAAGATTTGCAATTTAGTCTCAGGTCATTAAACTCCACGGGTACCTTCAAAGATAAAATAGGAGCTGAAGGATTTCTGGTGGTGGCACCTTACATTCTGATATTATTTCTCCAGGAAAACGTTGAAGTGTTGCCATTTGACAGAGCAATTAATCAGTGGAACAACTTGCCTCCAAAAGTTGTGAATACTGGAAGTTTTTAATAAGTGATTGGACAACCATTAGTCTGGAATGGTTTAGGGTTTCCTGCCTGAGCGTGGGGAAGACCTCCAAGGTCCCTTCAACTCTATTATTTTGTAATGTTTTTGAAGTATAGTCGAGGAAAACTATTTGCACATAATTAACTTTATAACCTTGCTTATAAAAAATAAAAATGGAGTAAAAATAAACTATAACTCAAAGCAAACCAGATACATAACACACCTTCCTCTTCCTAGTTTCACAATAATCCTGAGGTGACAAATAAAAAATAGCAATATTAATTAAGGAAAATATTTGTAACTCAGGGTTGAAATGAGCGAGTCCTTGGTTCAGAAATTGATTTTTGTCTTTTTGAGATGTTTCATTACTCAAACTAGGTAACATAATCAGTCTAAATACTGACATTTTTATTAATGGAATAGATCTGTTTCCACTACTTTTTAAAACTGGTTACAAGCACATTAGAAATTTTGCCTATGCCTATGCCTACTAAAATAGATTTATCTACCTTGGTAAATGTGGAAAACAGGCAGCAGCACCTCACCTTAAAATTGGGAGCTCTCTGTTCATTATTGAAGTTTGACTTGGGAGGGGAAGGCCTGGGCATTTGCACAAGCCTGAAAAACAGATGCTCTTTTTAAGAAATCCACTGGTTGAAGTTAAGGTGGTTCTTAAATAGCGTCTTAGAGAAAAAAATAAATCTTGTCCAGGCTTTTGTTCCTCAGCCTGAAAAGGGTTGGGCTGTGGAGAGAGGTGCCATCAGAGAAGTGCCATCAGACAATCTCAAGTATTTCTCCCAAACTATTTTCAAAGTACCCACTACTCATGTGAGCATCCACCACTGCAACTCTGGTAAGAAAACTTCTGCTGAGTTGTGGTATTTCTTCCATGTTCTTCTTATCAGCAAGAGCAGCTCACCATACATACTTGTGTTTTTGTAGTATAGCAGTTCACCTCACACACAAAATGATCCCTCGTTTGAAACCAGGCATATGTGTATATACCCAAGAGGTTTTTTTTAATAGATTAATTTGAATAGATCCATGTACAATAATATTAAATTCAGTTAAATATATTTTGATTGCTTCTAAAAATCCTGATGGGTCTGTGCATTTATTAAGCAATATCAATACTGCTTCTTTCATGTTTCAGATTTGACAGTTAAATCCATGAATTTGGAGAATATCCATAAAAATGAAAGGCAGTGCAAGAATTGATCTAGAAAAAGATGTAGCGGGTATTTAAGCTTCCATTTATTATTTCGTATGGTCAAATGTAATTAAAAACTTAGGGTGTATTCATATATCATATATTCTGTTCTCATAATTTTGTTCAGGAAAGTATAAGTCTGCAATCTTATACCCACCTTGAAGTAAATGCTACAAAATTTGAAATCAATAGGATTTTAAGAATGTATGGAGTTGAAATGACATCTTAGATTTTAATTTTCAAATAAAACATTTCCAGAATGCTGGAAGTTGTGGTCGAACAGTAGGGATTCATATTTGTGAAGAAGTCGAACATGAGTTTAGTTCTAGTCAGACTTAGGTATTATTCTGGGGTCCCTTTTTGGTCACAACATCTTTCTATTTTGTTTAATCATAGTCTTTGAAATGATGCCCATTATATTTAGACAGTTCATTATCTGAAAATCTGGAAAAACTAATGTTAAGCTTCTAGAGCTTTCAAACACTATCTTTGACATTAGATTGCCAGATGATTTCATTTTAACATCAGAAAATGATTTGCAAGGGGTAAAAGAGTTGGAAATAGTAAGGGAAAACAGACACATAGCCTTTTGTCATTGTATAACAACATAAACTGAGGGACAGATACTTGGGCTTTATTTAAGATTATTTTCATATTCAGTGTTTCTTTGAAACATACATTCACATAATCACTTTAATATTTTGGATAGACCAGAGTTTGTTTGAATTTTGGTTAAAAAAAGAACAAACGTATGTTTGTTCTCTTAGGTATCAGCATTATATACTGTAGGACTGAAATAAAATTGTGCCACGCAAAAATGTCAAATTACCCTTTTCGAACGTTGATGTTCATTTCCTGCATATTTACTCAATATTGGGCAATTTTTATGTGTTGTTATTTTATGTCAGTGTTATTTAATAGCATTAAAATGGAATGCCTACTCTTCCAAAATTAGGCATTGTCAATGTCATTTTGTAAAAAAAAAACATGTTTAATTAGATATGTTCTATTTAAGGAGAAGAGAGAAGTACAGTATATTGGTAGTCAGAACTGAAGAAGCTTCTTGGATGAGAAACTAAACATTTTCAAGGAAAAACAAAAAGTCCAGTTGCCTCTTAAAAAAGCACCTTTGGGACAATCATGACCAGGATGACTGAGAATCTCCAGACATATATTGGTAGTAGCAACTCAGATATCAGATTTTCTTAAGTGGATACACTTAGGCACCAAATAAAAAATGAGTTGGTCATCAATTTAAAACATTATTTTTAGGTATTTTATAATTCTTCATATTTATAGTTTGAGATTAAGGCTGCACAAATTAAAACTTCCAGTTAAAAACTGCTTATTTTTTTTGTAATTAAAACTGGCATCATTGATAAAGTACAGAATATTTTAATTACTCTGTGAACAGAAGATTTTTATCATTAACATGCAAATCTGTGATTTAATCATGTTTATTGGATAAACTGCAATTGTCAAAAATATTGATTACAAAACAGCAGCTGGGTTCACACAAAAGTCACAAACAAGCCACTTTTTGTTTTCCTATCACAAATGAAACTGACTGGATCATCTCAATAAGTTGTCCTCTGTATAAAATAGGATAAAATGCTGTTTTTTAAACGTAGAAGTGTGTCCAATAACATGCGATCTCTACAATTTACGCAGAATGAAATATTAGAAAATATTTTAGCACTAATTTACTTAAGAATAAACTCCACTGTCTGCAGTGAAATACAGAGGATTGTGCTCTTAGGTGTCAAGCCTGTACCCATAATAGGATCTGATCCTCAAATACACGTGGATAATATCCAGCTGTTAGATTAAAACCATATGAAAAGTGTCCTTTTACAAAAGCAGGACCAATCTCACTGAGGAGAAAACCGGAGGAGGGTGAAATTTGCGATACGAAGAACAAAACATAAAACGTAATGTCCCTATCCTATTTTCTCCATATAAGACAGAATGGGTCTGCCTTTCAAGTTCCGTGACAATTCTAGCCGTCCAATAGTGACGTAAACTAACTGGCTGAATATTACCGCCGCCGCTAAGTGCGACGTACCTCTTTCCTTACACCTGAGAGAGAAAAGAAGTAGAAGGCGGTGGAACCCGCAAGCTTCTAAACCTCAGGTATCCTTCCGAAACAAGCGAACAGAGAGCAATAGTATCAAACACTATTTTTAAAGACGGCATGAAAAGTATTGGTTGTTGGATACGCTGAGGAGAAGTGGACCTGAAAGAAAACTGACTTTGCGAGGTCCTCTTCCACGGTGCGACAGTTACCTCAGGAAACAAAGAAAAGCAGCGGCCGTCTATGTCGTTACGTCAGACCGAGGGCTGTATATATTTACATCTCCTCCCCAACAGTTTTCAGTACGGGCTTTCAGTGCTTTAGTGTAAGAATGGTTCACGAAAAGCGGCAGGGAACTGCTGCTGAAGCTTCTAACGCAAGTACTTCGACGGAGACAGAGAAAAAGAAACGTGTTTCGGGCTCTCTCTCGCAATTGATTCTTCAAGTTTTAGAAGCTTGCAATTCCCGAAAAGGTATCTCGCTGGCTGCTCTCAAAAAGTCTCTGATCGAAGCTGGGTATAACCTGACTAAGAATAACCTCCGCCTCAAAAGGGAGCTGCGCAACTTGGTCTCCAATGGAGTGGTGGTCCGTGTCACAGGCAGTGGTGTTTCTGGCTCCTTCAAGTTCGGCAAGAATCAACCACCGAAGTCGAAAAAAGCGGCTAACAAAACGGCCAAGGGGAAAAGGGAGCCTAAAAAGGGCCGGAAGAAACAACCGGCAGTTCATAAACCTAAAGGTCTCCAGGGTCGTAAACCTTCCAACTCTGGAAGGAAACGTCAGGTGAACAAACGCCCTGCCGGGAAATCTCGTTAACGAGGTCCTCGCTTTTCCTAACTTCACAAAACTACAAAAGGCTCTTTTAAGAGCCACTCCGGAATCGCTGAAAGAGCTAATGACATTTTCGGATCAGGTTTTTTTGCAGAGTACCAGTAAAGGACACCCGTTTTGAATGATCTCGGGTTAATAGTTTAAGTGTACTCGGAAAAATCGAAGGGTTTAAAAAAAAAATAGTAGCCTTTGAGTATATAAAATAAACTTGTGTCAAATGAGGATTACAGTTCCTTTTTTTTCCTCAGAAGCCTCGCTATTTTCTTATATTGCAAGGTAAATAGGTGAAGGATTTCATAATTACTGTATAACTCAAGCATGTTAAATTGAACTTGTAATACAGGAATAGAACTTAAAAATCATAGTTGTTGGCTGATTAATCAGGTAGGATGAATATTAAAATTATTGCAATGAGTAAGTGGCTTTGCTAGCAGCAAAGATTTTTATGAGAATATAGTATAGTAATGTGGAAGAAAGTATTTTTGGGAGTATAGTCAAGTGAATTTTCTCAGGATATCAAAAGGAAAATAACTTAGTTTCATTGTACTTTCTAAATCAAGAGATCTTATTTCAATGATTTTGGTATTGATGTTAAGCATATTTCTCTCTAAAACATATTTGGCTTGTTCATGTTTAATGTAGGTTGCTTTCTTTGTTTAGATACCTGTAAAAGACTATGAAGTAATGAAAATGGATTATGTTAGACAAACAAAATAGCATTAGTATATTTGAGGCACTTTATTCCAGTAGCCCTTTATTGACTCTATCAGTTTAAAAATTGGCAGCCCTTTTAATACATGGTAAAGTTTAGTTCAAAACTTTTGAAGACACCAATTTTGCAGATGGAGACTAACTAAGATGTTAAATATGCCTAAGGGTTAAATATGAGAAACGATTCTCAATGTAGCTTAATTTTTTACTTTACAACAAAGTAAAACACGAGCTGCTATCGGCACAATTCCAAGAAAGGTGGGCAGAATTGATTTGCTCAAGCACTATACAAAATTAATTCTATCCACTTTAAGATTGGCAGAACGGCTTTTTATTATCTATTCAGAAAGCGAAAATTTTTAATCAAAACCCACAAACCAGGTTTCTAGCTTTATTACTAAGCAACTTTATTATTCCCTCTTCAGTTATTGAAACATGGTTCTAAAAATAAGCTTTATGCCTCAAGAAGACCTTTTAGCGGTTGGGGTTGTAGCCATCGCTCCCTCTTGGCCAAAGCAGTATTTTGATTTTGTCACGCTTCCAGGCTGTCCCAACTTCCAGGGCTGTTTTGGCGTTGACTCACTGCCTAGGTCCCGATGTGAGCAGCGGCGAGAGCTCCCGGTCTAGCAGGAAAACGAAGATCTTTATGTAGTTGGAAGGTGTAATTTATTCGGCGAATTTTATTGTCTTGGGCTTCGTGTTTTAACAGCTCTTAAATTCAAAAGCTGGGCGCTCCTCGTCTGATTCAGTTGATACAGTCCCTTTTCGGAACTGATTTTCTCCCGTCGCCCCTACAAAAACGACAATGCTGCCTTCTAGAACCAACTTTACGCGCCCACTTTCCCTCCAATTTTCGTCACTTACAGGCAAAACAGCTCTCCTTTCTACAACGAACGGCACAATGCAAAATAAAGCTTCCTTAAATGTCATTGGTTCTGAAGGGAAGCTATTTTATCCAATAAGAAGCAAGCTCCATGTACTGTTTATGAGGGAGAGAGCGCGTAAATCACGAATGAAGGCAAATTAAGTGTCCCAAGATAATATTGCAGGATCCAATCTGTCTCGGTCAACGACCCGGATTGGAACCTGTAAATTACTCAATCTTCCATATCGAAGGTTCAAAACAGATTATTCTGTATTAATTTTCTTCCTTCCATGGACGATTTGGTCATATCGAAAATATATACTGTGCAGCAAGGCAAAGTAGTAACGTTAAGGAAAACAAATTTTTTTGTCTAAAACCAGAATAAAGGTGTGATGTCAGGTCAGAACAAATACCATATCTTTTAAACCCATTATCTCTCTTTCAAAATCCCAAAGGTGATTTTTCAAAAGGCATCTGGACTTTCTTTGTTTTCCTTGAAGACATTTCACGTCTCATCCAAGAAATTTCTTAAACATCTAATTCAAAATCATTTCCAAAATCCACTGTTAACCCTATACAAGGAAAGCATTTTATCCCACATTCCTATCAAGATATACATGCAATCACCAAGCAGGCTACACCCAAATACCTCCCTCCCTCCTTCAGTCCATCCATCCATCCACCCATCCTTTTATCTCTGCAGTTTTCCCCCTCACCCATGACCCAATTTTCCTGTTTTCTTGTCCCATCCAGTTCTTCCTCCCCTCTCCCCCTGAAGGGTCCCACTGATCAAATAATTAGAGGATCATTTTTTTCCTGCCCCATTTGGGTATCTTGGAGGGGCAGTCTTCACAGAAAAGTTCTTGGATTTCAGGTATGTAACTTTCTTTTCTAACAATAAGTCCTTCAAACAACTTTACTCAGCATTTGTAACTGTATACACCCACTTCCAACATACATTTGATGGCAATGCAAATGACAGCATATTCAAATGATCCCCTAAAAGAATCTGCTTTCATGCCTCCTCTTTAACCCCCCCCCCCACTTCTGCCACAGAATAAATTCATCAGCTGCTAACATTATTCAGTATTTTCAGTTTTCATTTTCTGCTGGAGCCCTGACCTCCTGCTTCCATTTCAATTGTATGCTGCCCAATTTGGGTAAAGCCCTCAGAATGACTAATTTTGCAGGTGCATTACACAAGCAGGATTTATTGAGATAACACTCCACGGGGCTTGCCAGGACAGCAGACTGGGTTAAATTTCTGCCTTTCAGAACAGTAGAAATTCTGGAAGAGAGAGTTATAAATTCAGGAACAAAGTTGAAAGTGAGTGAGCAAGCACCGATTGGCTGGCATTCTCAGAATTTGGCCACTATAACTGAAGGGCCTGCAAATTCAACATCATGGTACTTGTGGACAATGAGGGCATGTGCAACATCTGAGTTTGGTTTTAGGATACCAGGAATATTATATTTCATAGAGGGAATTCATATCTATATGGCAGACCAAAATATTCCAAGTGGAACAGAAGAATGCAATAGCTAGGAGCTAACTTTTCCTTTTAAATAGCTCCTAAATGAAATACAGATTTTAAAACACTTTTGTAGACCACTTTGTATTTCCCCTAAATTATAGACCCTAGCTTATAGTTATGAAATAAGAGCCATGGTGGTACAGTGGTTATACTACAGTATTGCAGGCTAATCCAGTTGACTGCCAGCTGCCTGCAATTTGGCTGTTCAAATCTCACCTGCTCAAGGTTGACTCAGCTTTTCATCCTTCTGAGGTCAGTAAAATGAGGACCCAGATTGTTGGGGGAAATAGGCTGACTCTGCTTAGAGCGGGCTGTAAAGCACTATGAAGCTGTATATAAGTCTAAATTCTATTGCTATTGCTATGAAATCATCCATTATGAATGGAAGCTGAGGCCTTAGTTACCTTTATTGAATGTTTTGTGATTCTAATAGATACAAAGAAGACATCTACTCTGAAGGCCTCCGTCCCTGAGGTTTGGTTCTGTTATCTTCTCGGGACTTTTTCTGAATTGAATGAGGTCCTCCTTGGTGGGTGAAATGCAGCTCTGATCCGGCGACGGCTTTGTCGTTTAGTAGAGTAGGTCTTCTTCACCCTTCTACAATGAGATTTTTGCTTTGCAAGGAGGTTGTCCTTGTAGTAAGGGCTGACTTGCACTTTTACCGGAGGGGGAAGCCCTTTCCTGGAAGGCCTGCATCTTTTAGGAGCACTTTCGTCAAGAGAACTTTGGGCTGTTTTGAAAAAAGATGCACCTGTATTCTTGCAGTTTCTGCTGGATCTCCTTAAAACAGAAGCAGATCCCTGATTGGAGTGGTGTGATTCTCGAAAAGCACAATTACTTTTGCTACCAGCAGAACTTGATTTTTTAGCAGCAGAAAGGGCTCGTTGACAGAGATTTGGTGTTCTTTCAACAGATTTACTTTGGCTGACGGATCGCCTCGATGGCTTTTGTCCTGCTTTTAATTTCCGATGGGATCTCTTGGGTTTTCTTCTAATTTTTCCAGCCTTCCAACTCAAACTCTTTGCTTCTTCAGCTTTTCCCTTTATCTTTTCAGAAGCACACATCCCTGCCTTCTTTATCCTTGCAGCTTTCTCCAAGTTTCTGGATATCTTGGTTATCTTTTCCTGGTATTTTCTGACGACAAAAGAACTTGAGCCATTGCCACATGTCATACGCACCAGGGCACCTTTAGACACCAAGGACTGTAACTTCCTCTTAAGTCTTGGATAGTGCCTCCTCACATCATATCCCTTTGTACCAAGCACTTCCTTCAGCTCTGCAAAAGTGAGGCCATTGTGTGATTTACAGGATGCAATTGCTTCAATAATAAGCCCTGAGATGCTGGGCAGAGAATCAATGGATTTCCAAGGAATCAAGCTTTTCTTATTTTGCACTGAGTTTGCTACCATCAGGGTCTTGGTGGTGAAATTAGCAGTTTCTTTCTTTCTTTGACTGGACACTTTTCTTCTAGGAACCGGTGCCTGCATTCCTATAGGCATCATGTTCTCATGGGTCATCATCTTTCTCATGGGACTTGTGCGTGCCTGCCTGCCGTTTCTCTGTGCCAAGCCTCTGCTGAGACAGAATCTTGTCCTTAGTGTCTTAACTATATGTATAGCAAAAGCTGACACAATGGAAGTACTTCATCCGGCTTCTGTTCCTAGCAACCAATCACAATGCTCGCTTCTGTCCTTGAGAACTCACCTTTCATAAACATTCCCCGCCCACCCTCACATTTTCATCCTATTCAAAAGTAGTTTAGACAGGGAGGCTCTTCTCGACATACCTTTGTATAATAGCAGAAAGCCTTTCTTTTTTGTGATGGCTTTTAGTTGATCACATGAAGGAATGAAGAGCAAGAAGCTTTCCTGTTATTCATGAGGAAAGGGTTGCATACGTCTCACACCATACGAACAGATCCGTCAAGCTGCATGCTTTCAGCAGAATCAGTGTTACACAAAGCACAGAAAAGGGTCAATAATAAAACAAAGAAATGAAAGGTCTCTAAGGCAAAGAAAGGAAACACAGTTAAAAACAGTTTGTGGTTTGTGCCTTCAAGTCAGTCTTGATTGCTGGTGACTGCCTGGATCAGTCCCTGAAGTTTTCTTGGCAAGATTTCTGGAAGTGGCTTATCCTGTTATCTATAGTCTCTTGTTTCCTAGGGCTAAGAGAAGATTGGCCCCAGATCACCAAGCTGGGTCCACGCCAAAGGCTTGACTAAAACTGACAGGTCTCCTGGTTTTTCATCTGGTGCCATAACTACCAGATCAAACTGGCTCTCTGAAACCAGTTGATGCCAACACAATTCATGATACTTCTTCATATCTTTTTATTATTGCAAACCATCCTTGCTTCCCCCATGTTGATATATGAATTTATTCCTTGTCCTTTAAAAAAACAACTTCTCAACTCTCTTCCTCAGGATCTCATCGGTTTTGTCTTTTTCTTCACCATCCTTCAGATGCATTTTTTTTCTTTGTTGTATGTTTTTATCCTCAATATATGACCTCAACCTAATTCATGTGTACTGATTACTCATTTTTGTAATTCATTCAGGTGGCTTAATGTGGTTGCCAAAGTACCCTATTTTCTGGATAATACATTAAATGAAAAAATTGGCTGCATAGGCTGAAGTCATGCAAGCCAATGAAGAAAAAGCTGAGAAAACTAAGAGTAACCAGGTAAAGGTAACCAAATTTAGCATGGTGTATCACTATAGGAGCTACATTTTAAGTGTCCCAATCACCAGTAGGTGTATTACATAAACCCAGGATCCCTGTACAACAGGGGTGTCAAACTCAATTTCACTGAGGGCTGCATCAGGGTTGTGTTGACCTCGGGGGGGGGGGGGCATGACGGTGGGGGGGTGGCCAGCTTGACATCACTCGTGCTGGGGGCACCTTTGGTGGCCTGAGCACTCTGCCAGTGAAAACAGGCTCCCGAGCTCTGTTTTTGGCTTTGATGGCTTCCTGCAATCCTCTGCCAGCAAAAACAGGGCTCGGGAGGGCTGCCCGCAGCCTTCCCAAGCTCCATTTTTGCTGGCAGAGGCACCGTGGGCCAGTCCTTTGCTGTTTTCAGGGCAACCCCACAGGCCAAATCTAAGCACCCCCTGGGCCTTAAATTTGACCTCCCTGCCCTGGAAGAACAAAGGCAACATATGGATTACCTGAGTAGTGGATAAAATCCCAGTATTCTTATTCATGCAGATGATCTCATTTTGATCAGTCAAATAGAATGGTGGTGATAAAGATTAAATGTTAAGTTAAAATACCGGAACAGACTCACGAATTTCTGAAGAATTCTTTGTATTTAAGAATACTGATATCAGAGGTGAGGAACCTGTGAATCTCCAGCTATTATTCTAAACAACAATCCCTAACACCTTTTGCAATTGACAGTGCTGTTGGGAATTGTAGTTTAATGAACATTTGGAAGGCCATAGATTTTCCATGCTTGATATATGTCATCATAATGTGTCTTTGTCACAAGATTCTGTAAGGAATCATCTGAACTTTAGAAACATTGCAAAATACAGAGTTTAACTGGCCATTATCTATATCTTTTATAAATCAAAAGCCAAAGAACAGATACCATATTAAGATTTTATCAACTGTCAATTCATGTGTTAACTTCATTCAATGGTGTTCAGAATTTCATTAAATTATTCAATTTTGCCAATTCTTTCAGAAACTGTGAGACTGTAAATTCTAGTCCTGCCTTAGGAACAAAGCCAGTTGAGTGACCTTGGGCCAGTCCCACTCTCTCAGCCCTAGGAATGAGGCAATGTAAAACCATTTCTGAAATCTTGCCATGAAAACTGCAGGGACTTATATACTCATATACACAACTCAGTCAGGTTTCCTTGCTTAGATAATAAGAGTTTTACTGTTCTAAACACAAAGTTGACAGACATCAAGCTATATTTTTGCTAGCTGATCTTCAACAGTGGGTTTGCTGTTATCTGGACAGAGGGGTTGACTGGAACTATGCTAAGTGCAAACTAATATGGATATTACCCACGGTAATTTTATAACATAGTTGAGGCTGCAAAGTGACACAAATTACCTTGTCAAAGTAAATTAGATTCTGACTTGGCCTCACTAAGAAGAATCACTTTGGTTGTGGCAAATACTAAACTTCTGTAAGGGGAATCAATGCTACTCTGCATATTGTTTAGGTGCATTTCCAGACTTATTAGGATAATGAAATGTTTTGATTGCCTTGGGTGATGGCTTGGGTCAAGAGACATACACATACACATACTAGTAAAGATCTAGAAGCCTGCTTGGAGGGTAACCATAAATTGGAAGAAAATCATATTTAAATGATGAAATAACATTGAGACTTTATTAGTAGTACACATATGATTCCTTTTGTCCAATTGATTAAACAGATTTGGTGTATTACTGGGACAACCTTCAATATGGCTTTGCCGTAATTCCCTTCAAAAAACCTTTATGTGTCTAAGGGGAAAAGGGTGCAATATTGTTTAAACAAAGGAGTGTAAAGTGTATGGCAACAAACCCTTATACATCTAGAATTTAAGTTTTGTTGGCAGTTTGGGGATGTAGAAGGACATATGATACAGGTAGTCCTCGACTTATGAGTACAATTGAGCCCCAAATTTTTGTTGTTAAGCAAGACAGTTGTTAAGTGAGTTTGCCTGATTTTATGACCTTTTTAGCCATAGGTGTTAAGTGAATCACTGCAGTTGTTAAGTTAGTAACACAGTTGTTAAGTGAATCTGACTTCCCCACTGATTTTGCTTCTCAGAAGGTCACAAAACTGATCATATGACCCCGGGACACTGCAGCTATCATAAATATAAGGCTGTTGTCAAGTGAGTGTTTTTTGACCACATGACTATGGGAATGCTGCAACCGTCATAAGTGTGAAAAATGGTGATAAGTTATATTTTCCAATGCCGTTGTAACTTCAAACAGCCACTAAACCAACCGTTGTAAGTTGAGCACTACCTCTACATGATTATTCTCCCAAAGCCAGAGATTATTAAATGCTTGAACAGGCGTTGCAAAGGTTGTGTAGAGAGAAGTCCCCTGTTTTAATTAAGAATTGTAACTTCTTAAAGATTTGTGAGTGAAACACCTCCCCCTAAATAGTAAAAGGGTACAACTTCCTCCCCATTGAAATTGGCCTGGACGGTAGTGACTTCACCATCCTGGTCAAAAATCACTTTTCCCTCACTGTAATCCAGAAAGACAACAATCTTTCCAGAGCCTTTTTGAAGCTTGTCAGAATCCGTTTCCAGTCGCCGAAGCCACCAGAGGCCCCTTTGCCAAATCAGTTCTTCGGGGACAAGTCTGAGGTACCCTTTTCTCTTCACAGACTTCCCAGCTAACCCAACAGCCCATTCCCTCTGCGTCCCATACTTCACTTCAAAGAAATGTCTCCCTGATCGGAATCCAGGAGACCCCAGCACACAGGGGCTGCTATTGAATCTCTCTGGATTGTCTGGCACAACCTGCGGGACACCCACATTTTCCACAGTCTTTTTGTCTGGTGACACAACCAGTGATTCAAATGCTGTGTTTGAGTCAAACCTCACGTCAGCTGCAAGGAGAAAGATAGAACATCAGAAGCCAAACCAAATTCTAGGAGAGCAACATCACTGAAAATGCTATTACCCACCCACCTACCCCAAATTAGAGGGCCAAGAAAGGCCACAAAATATCCCAGCTTCATTTCCCATGCCTGCATTCTTCTACAAATTGATACGACGCATAAACACAGGGCTTTTTAATAGGGCTTTATGTAAAGATATATAGTGCAATAAAGGCCAGCTGCTTCTTCAATGATGTTATAAAACTCTGCTTTCCTCAAACAAGTCAAAAGTTAAGGGATAGGTAAGAGGTGCACTGTGGCTTTCTAGAGAACAAAATCCCTCACACTTCTCTCCCAAAAAGTCGTGTTTATGAACAAAAGGATAATGTATGTACAGTATGTAATGTAAAATAATGTATGTTTAGGCACACACACATGTATGTGTGATATGAGCTGTGGTGATGCAGTGGGTAGAATGGGGTATTGTAGGCAAACTCTGCTCACAGGCTGGAGTTCGAATGTCACTGGCTCAAGGCTGACTCAGCCTTCCATCCTTTGGAAGGTCGGTAAAATGAGGACTCAGATTGTTGGGGGAAGCATGCTGACTCTGTAACCACTTAGAGAGTGGTGTAAAGCGGTGAATGAGTCTAAATGCAATTGCTATTGATCACAAATAATGGTTTCCTCAGTTCTCCAATATGGTTCATTTTTACCACTACCCTTTTTTTTTTTGCAAGTAATTGATTACAGGCTGTTAGTTTTCAAGAATCATTGTCAAAAAGGCTTCTGACCAGGGGTGGGATTCAAAATTTTTAACAACCAGTTCTGTGGGTGTGGCTTAGTTGGTGGGTGTGGCTTGGTGGTCATGTGATTGGGTGGACGTTGCTTGGTGGTCATGTTATTGGCTGGGCGTGGCCAACTCAATATCACTCACATCGAGGCACGCATCTCCTCGCCTGGCCTCTCATGACTGTGGGGATGCTGCAATAGTCGTAAGTGTGAAAAATGGTCATAAGTCACTTTTTTCAGTGCCATTGTAATTTTGAATGGTCACTCCACACAAGCAAAGTACCAGCAAAGGAAGGGAAAAAAAACTCCAGAGACGTTCCTAAGACAGGAAGTCTAGTGCTGTCAAGAATGTAATGGAGAGGCAGTTTCTGTAAGCAACACCAGAATGTTTCCTTCCTGCCTTCCTTACAGGATTAGACCAGTAATTTCTTCTAACAACCGGTTCTCTGAACTGCTTAGAATGTTAACAACCAGTTCTAGCAAATAGGTGTGAACTGGAGGAATCCCACCCCTACTTCTGACCATTCAAAAAAGGAGACTTGGGCTGCCTACAGTTATGGGGTCACTTGCATTGTTTCTTGTATCCTGCTAGCCCATTTAAAAAACTATTCTGCACTCCAGCTAGCAGAGGCTGATAAACACTGCTCTGAGATGACAAAGCCTAGCAGATCTTATACAGTCAAGGCCCTGTTTGACTCTATTTATTTATTATTAGACTTCTATGCCACCCATCTCACCAAGATGACTCCTGACAGCTTATACAGTGTCAGAATAAAGGAAAATGCCCACACAGCTGAAGCTATAGTGAGGTGCAAGCCGGGAAAGCCAGTGTTTGTTGGTTAAATTTCACATGACTCTGTTCTCCCTTCCCTCCACAATAGATTTATTTATTTGATTTCTATCTCAACAAGAGACTCTGATGTTAGGAGTGCTCTTGTTGGATCACACAAAGGAGGCCGGGAAATATCTAGCAAATCCAAACTTAATTGCAATGAGCTTGTCTGGCATTATTGTTCAACTGACCCGACTGATCCTGGAGAAGGACACTCTTATTTAAGCCATCTCTTACCTTTCTGCCATTTCCCAGGGGGTGAAGCCAGAGCCTTTCCACCATTTTCCTGGTCAGCAAAAAAGCACAGTGTGAACAGGAGCAGGCAAGAGACTCCTAAACATGAGGAGAACACAAAGGCAAGAATAGCTAAGGCATTGTTTATATTGTCTTATAGATGCTAAAGTTTGGTTTACAGAAAAACTGGGCATAATTTAGCACTTGCTGTCACATGTCCTGTACAGGTAGTCCTCAATTTACAATGGATTCCAAAAAAGCTACTTATTACCTGCATTTTAAGTACCAACATCTGGATCCACACACATATATCCACTCAGTTCCACAACTCTGCCCATGGCCATATGAGTGCATTTTGATGACCTTTTTGCCATGTCCCGTGGTCACATGACCACAATTTAACAAAAAACAGCATCTACTTCCAGCTTCCGGCAAAAACTCCCATAACAAACAATGGGTTCGTTTAACAACTATGGCATTGGCTTAACAACCATAGTGTTCTTTTTACAACCACTACATAAGTCTTATGATTGCTACAAAAAAGGTAATAAGATCGGGTGTAGTCGTATGATGACCTGTTGAATGACTGTCATGAGTTACAACTGCAATTGTGGGTTCAATTATGGGCATGTCAAGAGTTGTGGTGGCGCAGTGGTTAGAATGCAGCATTGAGGTTAATTCTGCCAACTGCCAGCAGTTCAATTCTCACCAGTTCATGGTTGACTCAGCCATCCATCCTTCTGAGGTCGGTAAAATGAGGACTCTGATTGTTGTGGGGCAATATGCTGACACTAAACTCTTGGAGAGGGCTGTAAAGCACCGTGAAGCGGTATATAGGTCTAAGTGCTATTGTTTATGCCTATAATGGCTGGCAGGTCTTGGGAACATTCTAACTTTTGTTCCCTTGCTAGCCAAATATAGTATTCTGTTTCATTTGTTTGGCGGAGATATTTGGAGAAGACTGACTGGTTGGCTGATAAATGCATAATGGGATGTATTTCCTTTTCACTTCTAAGATAAATCTGTCTTTCCCAGCAATCTATAGCGATCAAGATTTCACCAGTATATGAACAAAATATGACAAAAAGCATATAGTTATATGCTATGGCTCAGTGATGACCAAAGCAGAAAGAAAATGTTTTGCAACATATGAAGGCATTATCTTTATATTTTTATCCCATCTTTTAAAAATATATATAACTAGAAGGCAGCAAACATACCTAACGGAAGGGGAGTGTTTGATCAGACTGGGGAAATGTGTGTGTTTTTTGTGTGTGCATTTTTGTGTGTGCATTTTTGTATTTATCCAAGTAAAAAAGCTAAAAAAAAGTAAAAAAGTAAAAAATAAGAAAAAAAGCAGTAAAAAAGCTGGAACACACTTCCTCACTAGTCCAACACATGAAAACCACAGGTCATAGCATCAACTTTAATGGCATCAAAACCCTAGCCACTATAGAAAACCACAGCCACAGAATTATCAGAGAAGCCATAGAGATTGAAAAAAGACCTGAAAGCATGAATAGAAGAGATGATTCCACCAGACTGTCAATTATTTGGAAGCCTGCACTCACCAACAAAAAAATCTCCACACCACTAGCCAGGCAAACACCTGGGCACAAACAGATCCCCCCTGATACCTCCAGCTCAAACACACCCCAACCAGGCACCCAGATGAAACCTAGCTTCCTAACAAATGATAGCCGTCCATTTACTCAGAGCCAAGCTGCACTAAAGGCCTCCAATACAGGAACACAATGTTGCCAGCCAATCAAGACACAAAAAGAGCCACAAAACAGACAGAAGATATTAGAAACACCGATCAAGCAGAACACAACAAACTCCACGACCAATAAACACCGACCAAGACTCCCAGTCAATCAGGATGAAGAAAAAACCATTCTGGCACAGCAGTAGGCTGCCCCAAATTTAAAACTGAAACGGCTGTGAAAGTCTGACTCACAGACGAACACAATACAGAAGCCTGATGCTGGCAGATGAGATTCTGCCGAAACATTGCTACAACTTTAAAAGCACAACTACAATGACATGGGAAAATACCCGAAGAAAGCTGAATACCAGATAGATAGATAGATAGACAGATAGATAGATAGATAGATAGATAGATAGATAGATAGATAGATAGATATAGATAGATATAGATATAGATATAGATATAGATATAGATATAGATATAGATATATAGATATATAGATATAGATATAGATATAGATATAGAGAGATATAGAGAGATAATCTTTACCTGTGAGCTTCCGCAGGACTTTCTCTGTTTGTTGGAAGTTCAAACTAAATTGGAAACCAGCAGAAAGGGACATGACCATTATAAACTCTAGCTTCCTACAGAAGGAATAGAGAAAATGAGTAAATGATTAAGTGGCTTAAAAACTTAGTTCAAGTGAATCCAGAGCATGACATATAATGTCATGGTTTTTTCATTCTGTTTTATACCATGTCATAATTTTTTTATTCTGTTTTTCTGTGAGTCATCTGACACAGTTCATTCTCAGGTGAACGAACAATAAATAATATTTTGAAGACTTTTGTGAATTACAAAAGGATTGATATACAAAACTGTCCTTCTGTTTTGCAATGAGTTGGTTGAATACTCAACCAACATTTCAGGAAGGATTGCATCACAGGTTTTCATAGAAGGACATGCAAAGTGTTGCACAATTCCACACAACAGGTTCCAAAAGACCTTGTGTAACAGTTTACGAAGTCTTCTGCTAGAATTTTATCTGTTTAGTGCAGGAAGTCCCCCGTTTAAGAACACCTGACTTTTAAAGTCAACCCCTGGATATTAATGGGCTTGCCTGTTTCAAAATGGCAGATGACCGACTTGTTACAGTACTTAAAATAGCAGATGGCTGACTGGTAACATGATCTCACACAAAATGGCAGATGACATTTTTCTTCCTTGAGCCCACAAACTTCTGAAGCCATGCAATGCTTTCATGAGCATCATAAAGTAGTGTGTGTATTTTTTCGTACCATACACAGCCTGTTTTCAGTGGTATGTGCATAGTGCAGCTTCAGCAATTTGATAGGTCTTGGAAGGTGAATGCCTTTTGCCACTTTAAGTTGGATAGTTTTGAGTTCAGGATGGTGAAAGATTGAATTCCAGTGGGTTCTCTCTGGATTGGGTTTTCCTCGCTGAAGGTCTGTTTCCTACAGAACTCAGTTTTAAGATGTAAAACAAAGTAATCAGTTTAAACTTTTAAAAAAGCAGTATTATTGTTTATCTCTGTGGTTTTATAAATTCTAATTAGCATTTCCTCATTATTCCACATTTTTAGAGGAAAATAATGAATATGACAATAGAAGAAAAATAGGGAGAGGGGAATGGCATTTCTCAGAGTTTGTTTTAATCACTCAAAATCTAAGCCGCAACTTGTGACTACCAGTCCCAAGTTCCCAATTCCATTATCCCAACTTGTTGATGAGTCTACAGATAGTTCTCAATTTATGACCAGAATTGGGACCAGAATTTCAGTCACTAAGCAAATGCAGTTGCTAAGTAAATGATCATGTGACTGGACCCATTTTTATGATCAATTTTACTGTGATCATTAATAGCAATAGCACTTAGACTTACATACCATTTCAAAGTACTTTACAGCCCACTCTAAGCAATTTACAGAGCTAGCATATTGCCCCCTGGCTCCTCATTTTACCGATCTTGGAAGGATGGAAGGCTGAGTCAACCTTGAGCCTGGTGAGAACTGGATTGCTGGCAGAAGTAGCCTGCAGTACTGCATGCTAACCACTGTGCCACCACAGCTCTTAAGTAAACTAACTCAGCTGTTAAGCAAATTACATGGCCATTAAATGAATCACACTGTCATTAAGCAAATCTGGCTTCCCCAATTGACTTTGCTTGATCAGAAGCTGGCTGAGAAGACTGCAAATCACAGTCATGTGATTGCAGGGCAAGGCAACCTCTTAAATTGGATGGAAATGCCCACATTCCAATCACATGAACACAGGGGTGGTGTGACATAACTTCAGAGGTGGGTCATAAGTCACTTTTTTTAGTGCCAGCATAACTTTAAACAAATGGTCATAAACTGAGGTCTATCTTTATTCAAATTTTCTCTTGAATAATTTTTTCCTTAGGAGATAAAACTTGTGCGGGATTATGCCTGAAAATAATCTGGCATGTATACACCAACAGCTGATGAAGCATTTAATCACTGATGATCTCTACAAGGTTTATTTCACAAACAAATAATTGAACTGAGGGCAAATGAATAATGCTCTAGTCTAGCCTTTTTCTTCAATATGTTTTTCTAGGAATTAATGAGGTAAAAGACATAAATGTTTCCAGTTAATTCAAAAATTTCAGTTGTGATAAAATGCAGAACTTTGTGTGTCAACAGCCACAAAAAACTTTCTGAGCTCTTGGAAAATAAGAGATCCTTTCTACATTCTATCTCCAGCTCAAGCTATTATGGGATTCACAAGCAAGGGTAAGTAATCAGCATTTCTGGAAGAAAGCTGCGTTGTAAAATCTTACCTTCTTTGAGTCCTGGAGACTGTGTCTTCTCTGGGTCAAATGATGTCAGCCCTTCACTGAAGCTTCTTAAATACTCTCCCTGTCAAGGATATGGTTTCCTGTTTCTCCTTTTTTTCAAAAGTGCAAACCAAACCATGCAGCCTGTTCTGCAGCATTTTTCAACTGGACATGCTGTATAGAAGGAAGAGGGACCAGAGTTTGGGGGTTTGATCAGAGGTCTTAGATGATGCAATTTCAGGAGATGTTACATGCTCATGTCAGGTTTCATAATCTTGAGCACAAGTTTATCACAGCAAAGAATTAAGAGCTCTCTGGCCCTTAAAGAGTAATACATTTTTGGGGCTTTAAGATACCCTAAAGATCTTACTTGTTTTTATTTTGAATAACAGAAGGTGGCTCATTCAGATAGTCCAGTATTTAATTATAGTATATTTGCACATTCCACGTTTCTCTATGCTATCTGGGTGCCTTTAGAAGACAAGATACTTCCTCTCTCTCTCTCTCTCTCTCTCTCTCTCTCTCTCTCTCTCTCTCTATCTCTATCTCTATATCTATCTATCTATCTATCTATCTATCTATCTATCTATCTATCATCCTTCTCCAACCTAGTATTTTAAATGTTTGTTGGGTAATATCTCCCATTTTTCTTCAACCAAACCAATTGTCCACAGTGACTGAGGGTTATGGGAGGAAGGTAAAAAAAGTGGTGATTTAAGTGTTCTAAGTTATGGTTTCTACATTCATTGGCTGCTTTTAACTTCCCACTTGTTCTCAAATGAGTTTTCTTTATCTTAGACTTCTCCAGTTGCTGCTCATTATGTTGGGCTGTATCTGCAAAACAACTGGTTGAATCTTAGAATTTTGGGATCCGAAGTCCCAACTCATTTGGAAACAACCAGCTTGGGAAAGACTATATACAGGCATATAACGCAACCCATTTGTGTCTGTGTGTGTGTGTTTTTATCAATCTCAACTCCTGATACCTACAAGCCCATTTTCTTGGCAAAGTTTTCAGAAGTGGTTTTCCAGCACCTTCTTCCTAGGGCTGAGAGAGAGACTGATCCAGAGTCACCCAGATGACTGCCATTCAGTTGAAGATGCTTTAGACTAGCAACTTTAATTACTGTCCCAAAGTGGCTCAAATTGATTACAGGTTGTCCTTAACTTACAACCACAATTGAGCCCAAAATTTCTGTTGCTAAGTGAGGCAGTTGTTAAGTGAGTTTTGCCCCTTTTACAACAATTTTAGCTACAGTTAAGTGAATCACTATGGTTGTTAAGTTAGTAAGAGGGTTGTTAAGTGAATGTGGCTTCTCTATTGGCTTTGCTTATCAGAAGATTGTCAAAAGTGATCACATGGCCCCGGGACACTGCAACCGTCATAAATGGCAACTACTAAGCATCCAAATTTTGATCATGTGACTGTGAGGCTGCTGCTATGGTTGCAAGTGTGAACAATGATCATACATCACTTTTTTCAGTTACTTTGTAAATTTGAAGGTCACCAAACAAATGGTTGAAAGTCAAAGATTACTTGCATTGCACCAAGTCCAGTAGAATGGTTCTTCTGTTCAAAACTTTAAAAGGATTTCCATTTAGTTCCCATTCAGAAAACATTCAAGTATCTTGATTATTTATTCAGTAATTAGTTTAAGAAACAAAATTGTCTGAGTCAAAACACCAATTATCAGCTGCATTGTCTGGCCATGAAGCAAGCAAGAATAATCATTAACAGCGAACAATACAACTTGTTCCGAGGGTGTGTCCTCATTAGGTTTAAAGACCTCGAAGCCTTACCCATAAGATGGGAAAGCTGAAAAAGGTGAATTGCCCCTCCAACTCCCATGTGAAAGGATTGGATACCATACTGAGTTGCCATGTTAACATGCTTATACCCCATCAGCAGAATTGTGCAGGAAAATCATTCAGGCAGCATGTTGTTGTTGTCGTTGTCATCTATATCACAATCTATTTCAATCTAAGACAACTTGGCAAGTTCTAGTTACATAGATTTCAACTTCCAGAATTACCCAACCAGCACGGTCTTTGCTGAGAATCTGAAAGATGAAATCTGTCCAGGTTGGAAACATTAATTTTGGGTATAGATCTATTCTGGAGTATAAGCCACTATAGGATTCAGGAGAAGTCCAACTGAGAAAATGGTTATGACCGATAGACTAATTCATGTGTTTGTTTTCCTTCTACCTCTTTATCCTGCTTTCTCCTCTCTTTTTGGAGGCACTCGTAGAGCCTTGCAAGCTACAATACTGTGTTCATCTGGATCCTTTACAACAAGAGTTACTTTATTGTGTACTCAGCAGTGAGTTGTTAATTCTGCCAACGTAGGGAGAGAGACTGCTGAGAAAATAATGTGGTTAAACGTAAGAAATACATGATCCTAGATAGGACATAGCCCAGACTGATCCTGATCTAAATTGGCATCCTAAAGAGGAGTAGCTCTGTGTGTGTGTGTGACAGAGAGAGAGAGAGAGAGAGAGAGAGTGAGAGAGAGTGAGAGAGAGACATAGCTGACTAGAGGGAGTGTGACAAATTCCTATTTTTTTTTCCTGCATAGCACAATAGTGCTCCCTAAACAGGAAGACCAAGCATCCTGATTAAGAGCCAAAGGCTTTTCTTTCACTGTTGTCATGTACCAATGACAATAGTGATGTATTGTCATGTATTCAGGGGTGGGATTCAAATTTTTTAACAACTGGTTCTGTGGGCGTGGCTTAGGTGGTGGGTGTGGCTTGGTGGTCAAGTGACTGGCTGGGCATGGCCAACTCAATATCACTCACATCGATGCACACATCTCCTTGCCTGGCCTCTCATTACTGTGGGGATGCTGCAACAGTCATAAGTGTGAAAAATGGTCATAAGTCACTTTTTTCAGTGCCATTGTAACTTTGAATGGTCACTCCACACAAACAAAGTCCCAGCAAATAAGGAAAAAAACTCCAGAGAAGTTCCACAGAAAGGAAGTCTAGTCCTGCCAAGAATGTAATAAGGGTTAACGAAGAGGCAGTTTCTGTGAGTAACACCTGAATGTTTCCTTCCTGCCTTCCTTACAAGATTAGGCCAGTAATTTCTTCTAACAACTGGTTCTCCGAACTGCTTAGAATGTTAACAACTGGTTCTAGCGAATAGGTGCAAACCTTTAGAATCCCACCCCTGCATGTATTATCATGTTGTCTGTTAGATCTGGGAGGATAGGTTCAATGACAGAGACAAGACTCAGATAGCAACAACAGCTCTTTATTAGTGACTTCAGATCTGAGTGAAATATCCCAGCCGCAGCAGCCCCTTATATAGGGCTGGCTGCGGCTAGGCAGCCAATGACGGTGATTTGAGTTTGCCGCGCTTGGCTGGGCCAATCGCGGCAGCCCGTTTACTAGCCAATCGGGTCAGTGTGAGGTGACCAATCACGATCCACTATCAGCGGGCCAATCAGAGTTGCAGGCTTTTGAGCCTGCTAGTCCGGAACATCGTCGATATCCTCTGATACTGCCCACCATTGGACATTCATCCCCACCTTCTGAAAACAACCAACAAACATAGAGTTGGAATGACTGAGATTGGTAGCATGTTGCAACTGCCATACCAGGGAGTGATGAAAAGTCATTAAAAACTTACTGGATCTCCAGTTCCTTCCACAGCTTCCTTGTAAATTCCCCTGGGCCTTTTCTGAAAATTTTTGTGAGATATAAAAAAGGGAACAACCTGATAAAAGAAAAGTTGAATCCTAGCTATTAATGGCTCCAGGCATGTGGTCAATTCAACAGATGTTTCAGGAACTCTGTGACAAGATCTTCAAGACTAAAAAACAGGACATAAAAGCTTATATAAACATATCTATTTATTATACAAAAGCAGGATATACTTATGTATTTACCTATTGATATAGCACCAATTTGGTTTAGGCACCAGCCTTGAAGGTAGAGGATCATGAGTTCTAGTTCCGCCTCAGCATGACAACCTGGGTGACTTTGGTCCAGTTACTCTCTCTCAATACAACCACCTTACAGGGTTGTTGTGGGGACAATAAGAGGAGGAAGGTGGGTTGGATATGTTCAGCACCTTATTTGTAAGACTAATAGAAGTGGGATACAGATAAATAAATAAGATGTTACCAAGAAACAGAGCCCTTAACACTCCTGCTGGCTGGAGAGTTCTGGGATTTGAAGTCCACACATCTTAAAAGTTGCTAAGAATTGGAAATACTGCTGTGGTATGCATATAATAGGTTTAAAGCTGGAACAGTGAAAGGCCACTGAAAAGCTGCCCATGATAATTGCCTACAGTATTGTTTCCAGTAACAATGGAAAACGTTTTTTGTCCTTTTAATAGGCATATTGATTATATAAATTCCTGCTTGTTGTTCATTTCTCTCTCCCCTGCTTTTGCCTGTTCCTTATCCCTTATGTTTTGATCTTTGCTGATGTTTAAAAAAAACATGAATTTATATTTATTGAACATGGCTTTTTTGTGATATTGGAAGCAAACTAAACTGGAAATAGTACTCATAATAGCCATTTTCCCATACCCATAGTGAGAAATCATTTGTAAAGCAAACAAAACCAGAAAAGGAAAGATTGAAGCTGAGAGTAGCCAGGAAGGGAAGATAGATTATGGAAATTAATTATGGAAATTAACAGGGACAGCCAATGTTGGATTTGGTCCAAAATTCCAATTTTGGCTTAAGTAGGAAATACCGGGAGATGTTGAGCCAATAACATTTCACTTTCCCCGACAGATAACTTGAGAATAAATAGGGACAATGCACATGCATGCAACCCTTGCTCCAGGAATAGCGAGGGGACTTCACTAGAGAAGAACAATTATATGGTTTCTTTAGTCTTTTCAGAAGGACAGGATGAATGGTTTCATGAAAGAGTCCCTGCTTTGGGTACTAAAGGTCTCTAGCTTGGTGCCTGGTCATTAGTAAAAAAAAAAAGTTGCTCCCAGGGAAATAATATAAGCAACAACCTGAGCATATGTTAACCTGCCTATATTACTTCATGCTTAGTGGGAACATAGGTAGTTGATTAAATTAAGGTAAAGGTAAAGGTTCCCCTCGCACATATGTGCTAATCATTTCCGGCTCTAGGGAGCAGTGTTCCTCTCTGTTACAAAGCCGAAGAGCCAGCGCTGTCAGAAGACGTCTCCGTGGTCATGTGGCTGGCATGACTAAATGTCAAAAGTGCACGGAGCGCTGTTATCTTTCCACCAAAGTGGTCCCTATTTTTCTACTTGCATTTTTAAAATGCTTTTGAACTGCTAGGTTGGCAAAAGCTGGGACAAGTAACGTGAGCTCACTCCATTACACGGTGCTAGGGATTCGAACCGCCAAACCGCTGGCAAGCTCAGCGTCTTAGCCACTGAGCCACCATGTCCTACTCTGTTAGCACACTTGCTTACACTAAGTCCTTTCATTTGAGAAGCAACTTGATTCCTCTTGCAAAAAACCCCAACCTTATAATCACCTTCTTCTCACACTGCAGATCTCTAAAACCATCTCACTGTTGACGATGCTGATGCGACATCTGTAAACATTATGAGTGGGCTGCCTGTTGCCGATTAGCTGAAGATGACGTTGGTTTAAAACCTGGCCTCTTTCCCATTTTTTATGCCTTCTGCTGTTTACTGATAAGGCAACGAGGAGCACAAAAGAAGTAGCTTAACAAGGAGATGTTGAGAAATGAGATCTTCACAGACAAGTTCTCTCCCTCTTTGCTCCACCATCCTCAAGACTCCTTCAAGCCAAGCGTGGGCTGGGTGGCATCTGCCTGTGCAAAGAGTATCTAGATCACCTCCCATTCCTCTCATCTTTCTTTTGCTGATTGTCAATGGAGGAGGAAATGTGCAGTTTACTTTTGTTCTAAGGAAGTGCAAGTTGGAAGTGATCCAAGGAGTGTTCTTCATCAATGAGTAAGAGTAATTACTACAACTGTTCACTAAATGTGTATTTGTGTATATTTTAACATGTACGTGTGTGTGTTGGATTCAGTTTGTCTTCCATGTGAGAATATTTCATCTCATTGGTGGTCATGCTTCAGTTCTAATGCATTGAGGTATTTATGGCCATTTTCAAAAGTTGAATAGTTAAGCTTATAATCTGTCAGAAAAAAAGTAACAGTGGCTTAACATTTCTATCCAGTTTTACATTTCTTAATTTTTTTACCTGGCAGGAAGTTCCATACGCACTCCTTCATTGAAACTATTTCCTGACGATGAGGACGAAAATATTGTATGCTAGTTTGATTCTAGGTATCATAGTGATCCCAAATCATAATTGAGTATTTTAATATTTTCACTAATACATTTAATTGAAAAGTCACATTATTCAGCAACTTTTGCCTAAATCAGCCATTACAAACCATTTACTAGCATTTTGAACCATGCAAGCTAAAGAAAAAGAGAATTGTACTAACAAAATACAGTACAATACTAAAAATATTTTTTGCTTCCCTTCTAACAGTTCCTACGTGCTTTGAAGACCGGAGTTAGAAAACAAGGAAAGTGAAAACCTTCAGTTGTGTTTCCAGAATGAATTCCTTCCTGTTTATTTTCACCACTTTCTTAGTTATTCTACCTGTTAACAATGGCAATCCAAGTAAGAACTTTGTGTGTTATTATATTTTTTAAGAAATGTAATTGCTTTTATGTAATTGCTTTTGTATGTATTAAGAAGCATTATACACACGTACACATACACACACAGCGCGAGAGAGAGTGCTAAACATAACATCCTCCTATAACCTCACCTTAAAACAAAGAGACAGTGTGGTGTAGAGGTTAAAGGGTTGGAGTGGCACTGGAGACATAGAGCTTCCAGTCTGCCTTTAGCTATGGGAGCACAAATGGGTTGAAGATGCTATAGATATGCTTCCCTGAGATCCTGAATGAAAGATGGCAAAGATGGGTGCCATACCTAAGAAATATATAAATATAACATTATACAAATGTAGAAATAATATAATGAATCAACATGGGTAACGAATCCCATTACATGAGTATTGGGGGTTGTCTTAATAGCAATCTAATAAAAAAGGAAGGCTGATCAATACAAGAATGCCCTGCTAACAGAGAGGTTAGGAAATGAATATAGGAAACAGACATAACAGACACTTGGTCCATCTAGCTTGGCACTGGGTTCTATCACACCAGAGATACAGATCTATATCTAGTGTTAGATCTCTCGCATACACTTCTCCAGTTCTTACAATTACATTACTCAATTGTGCAATGGGGATTGCGCTGTGCCCCTGCTCAATTCTGAAGGAAACCGGGACCTGGCATTAGATGCTCAAAAAGAGTTCCAGTCAATGGTTTGATGAAAGTCTGTGTCCTCTGTGGATATGAAAATATACTACAGTGATCCTTATCTGTGGTGGTTAGCACCCATTTGCACAAGGGTCTTCTTAGCCTACCTGGAAATGTTAAGGATTCCATTTTTTTGTATGTGTACGTGCAAAGCAAGTATTATACCATTGAGCTATCCCACCCCCGCCCCATTTTTTCTCTATCTGGGTTTGAATATGAGCTGAATGATTATCCAACAGAAACTCAACCCACTGGATTTAAATGATGGATGAACAGTTCAGCCAAATATCTATTGCTATTTCACACAATTAGATGAGTTGCCTATATGGCGCTGCTCTTTCAGTTGACTTGCCCATTTATTATTTTTATGCATTTGGTACATTTCACAGTGCAACTGACATTGCTTGGACCACTTCACCCAGTCACCGCTTCTCTGAGGGAGACCATTGTGCTACAATGTCATCTGTCCCCCAGAACAAATGTTCAGAATATGGAGATTACTTGGTTCCGCTCCCACAATTCTTCCTATGTACACCTTTATCACAGTGGCAAAGATCATCTGGAACAGCAGCAGCCAGAATACCAAGGAAGAACAGAATTTTTAAAAGATGGCATTGGGGATGGAAAGATTGGGCTGAAGATTTTTAACATTAGCCTATTTGATGAGGGACCCTACCACTGCTCTGTTAAGAATGGGAGTTTCCAACAAGAAGCCACATTAGATATGAAAGTGACTGGTAAGTAAGGGGTAACTTTTCTTAATAGAAACGTGTAATCAAAGTTGGCTCTAAAACCTCTGCAGTCATCAATCTTCCAATATGTTCTTAGATTGTGAGAAAACCAGGGCTATTAAGGTTTCTACCCCAAAAATCTTTCAACCTACTTATTCAGTTTTTCTTGATATTTAGAAGGAATAAGAGTTATTGTTCCGTAATGTCAAGGTGGATAACCATTTTTCTTCCAGTGGCTGTTTATTTCTTTTTCACTTCCTTGACATGGGAAAAGGAAGAAAGAATGGTCGGTTGAAACATTTAGTTTTTCCTTTTTCAATGTCAGCATAAAAAAAACAATCAAGCACAAAATAATTTAATTTTCCAGATGTTTGAGGAGAAAATGGGAAGAACCATGCCATTTTGCGACCAATTTTAGACTCAGGGGACATATGTAGGTCTGGACTTCTGCCAGGCATGGGAAATCAAAAATCCAGGCAGTTCAAATGAATAAATGAATATCAAGGTTTATTGCAAGTTTATGCTCTCTACAAGAATCTGAACTACTAAGAAAGGAGAATATTTGTAGCTCAGGGTTGAAATGAGGGGTCCTTGGTGCTCTCTGAACTTGCTCGTTTTCTTGCAAATGTTTCATTACCCTAACTAGGTAACATCATCAGTGCTAGAGTGCTAGTACTGTTACCTAGTAATGTTACCTAATTAGGGTAATGAAACGTTTGCGAAAAAACCAAGCAAGCTCAGGGAGCATCAAGGACCCCTCAATCTGAACTACTAACAGTTGAAGCAAATAGGCGGTAGATAAGAGTCAGAGTAATTCAAGGTGGGCTGGACTTAGATCTCTTGTGGACACTAAGGGACTCCAGATTGAAGATGCCCCTCCCTTGGGCTCAGCCAGTCATCTCTTACAGCTGCAGAGCTGAGGCTTCACCTGCTATAAAACACCTGCTATAAAGCAAATTCAGGCAGCTTCTTTTGGTAATAACTGCTGCCCTTATCACTCCTTGCGCTTCTTCAGTAAAGTGACATCTCGAATATTTACCACCATTCAAAGCTGGTCCTCTAAAAGTATGCAACCTCACTGATGACTGGTTGTACATCTGTACATCTGTGATACCTGATTGGAATATCCATATTCAAGTGCAATATACTTCTAATAGTGAATACTGAGAAGAATTGAGCCATGCTGTACTGTTGACTGCATGCTCTGTTTGTAGGTTTACTAGAAATATCTGAAATGCTACTACTGGAAGTTTTATCAGACCTGGAAAGTTTCATTTCATGTTCTTATGATATTCCAGTGTCTGGAACTGATTCAATCCACCATTCATCTTTTGTTGGAAGGAAAGGGTAGGATCGTTTTGACAGGAGGAGGAGGAAAAATCACGCTTACTTCTTTGCCTTAAGAGGTAAAATATAGAAGCAGACAAATAGAGAAGTTATCAATACTCATCATAATCCAGACATTAAAAAGTTCTCCACAATAATAGTTCTAGTGTATGTTTTGCCTTTTATACCTCATCTGGCATCCGAAGACACCCGTTATGCAGTATGCCAACTTTCTATGGTAGAATTTAGGTTTTATACTTGGGGATGAGGAAGGAGACAGAGTGACGATTAAAAAATCTAAATAATTACAGGATGAAGATAAGACTGGACAATCTTCTGATCCTACAGTATTTAAAAAAAAAACAAATATTCTTTTATCCCACAGTGTTGGATATCTTGCTGCTATTTTCTTTGAACTGATTCCATAACTCTTTGAACAGACTAGAAGAGGGCAACTTCTGGGGGCCAAGAACCTGATTTAATATTTGGGCTGGAGGGCTGAAAGACAGAATAAATGGGACAAGAATTCAAAGTGAATAGGACCTCATCACATGGATACAAATGAGGTGTTAATTTTTCTCAAATTTCTTCCCTCCTTTTTTGAAGATTTCTTTTTCTTTTAAAAAAAACCTTATATTGCTTATATTATGGGATTTTGTGCGTGTTTTCATCTCACAATAGCAGCAAGGCATTCCTTAGTTTTTCCAGCAATTGAAGCCAGAATGTCAGCTTAGGTGGTTGGGGGTTGCAGATTTCCCTGGCTCTGCAGGATACCCATTTTCAGAACAGCCTGAAAATGCTTAAAATATGCATATTTGTCCCACATCTAGCATTAGGGCCTGCTCCTCTCCTTTCCATTGAAGGTTATCAGGACAGAGGGATCAGAGTGGTTTGTCGTTCCAGTGGCTGGTATCCAAAGCCTGAAGTCCTATGGAGAGAGCTCAACGGGAGGCTTTTATCTTCGTTGGCAAAAAAAGATTCACAAAGAAATGATGGGACATTCGATGTACAAGCTGACATTATTTTAAAAGCAAGTTCAAACTTGACCTGTGTCATTAGAAATAGTCTCCTTGGTCAGGAAAAGGAGTCAACCATCCACATAACAAGTGAGTCCATAAAAACTGTTAATAGCTATTCTACATTTTAGGAATTGGGCTTTGCAATAGTATGAGTTTGAAATTCTGAATTCAAAATTAGACAAAGTTGCAGCTAATGCCCATGTCTTGACTAGGGCAAACTCAAAATCAATGAAGAGTTATACAAGACATCTTTCCCAAAAGAAAATATCAAATGAATTCTTTGCATTCTCCTTTTTTTTACTCTTGAGAACTAAAAGTTTGGGAAAATATTAGGGAAATGTTTTTATCTGAATCAGTGGGTATAGTGTGAATTTTGGATGTATTTTACTGGTTAATGCAGATGTTTCTGAAACATTAATGAATCATAGCGGAAGGGATAGGAAAGAGAAAAGCAAAGCATTTTTCAATCTTTCAGAGTTGCTTTAAAATGCATTCATCTATACTTCTTTCATTTTTCAGATCACTTCTTCCCCAAAATGTCATCCTGGATAGTAGCTATATGTTTTTCCTTAATGGCTGTGGTTGTATTCGCTATATTTACTTTTTACCTACTGAACAAATACAGTAAGTACATCAGAAACTGGCCTTTAATTGACATAAAAGTAGAGTTAATGCATAGTTAATTGCAAGATAGCTCTGCAGTTACAGAAATTGTGTTTGGTTGGAATCAGTGTTTCTTAATAGATGGGAACACTGGCTAATGTTTTTTCCAAGGGTAAATCCTCAGTGTGCAAGGATGGGACCCTACTCTTTTTGTGTCTTTGCTTGAACCTTAGCATTCATCTGCCACTAAGGATGGTGTAAGATGCTGTGCTCCAGAAGGAGTATTTTCCCTATTCTGCCTCAAGATGCTACATGCAGTCGTATAGGGCATGTTCAGGGAGGCGACCTGAAATGATGTGTCCTATGCTGGCAATCTCATGGTTCTTCTAATCTGCCCCTTTAATCTGTCCCTCACCTCTCACTCCCTTGTAAGGTTGACTGAATTTTGGCTTCCGTAGCCATTGTTTCTCAATGGGTTGGTTAACTGGTTCTTCTAGTCTTGAAATTGATCAGCCCATTCCAGGCTGAATGTGTAGAACTAGGGAGGAGGAAGGGAATGGAAAAAACTCAAGCTTTTGTATTTTTGTAACCTAGCAGGCAATTTTATTTATGTATTTATCATATTCGTGTAGTTGACCATCTTACATGAAAGCGACACCGGGAGACATACAGCACTTAATAAAAAAACATAAAAGCAATCACAATTAAAAATAATTTAAAAAAAACACAGAACAGGAGAGAATGATATTAACCATAATGTTAATGATATTAAAGGAGCCATCACAAAATTCCCTCTCCCCTGGCCACAGCACATTAAAAAGTTCTTTTTCCTTACTTTCTTTCCTCAGTTATGTTCTTAGGATAGTTTACAATTCCCACAGGGTTATTCACAATTAATCTTTAGTTGAATTTCAGTTCTTCAACAACTATATCTCAGATGCATAAAATAGTTGACCACTAGATGGCAGTCAGCAGCTATAAGAAAAGTCTTACACTTTGCTGTCATCTAGTGGTAGATTGGTGATCCAATTCCCCCAATGTTTGAAGCGGTGTTTCTTAAACTTTTCGCTCAAAGAATCTTTTTGAACTTTTAATAATTATGGAAAACTCCAAAAGACCTTTGTTTATATAGATTATGTTTATAAATATTTACCATCTTAAAAATTAAAATAAAATATTTATTTATTGAATAAGTAAAAAGATCATTAAACCCATTACACACTGACATAACTATATTTCATGAAAAAACCTACAGTAAACATTCTCTATTGCCCCTTAATTTTTCTTTTTTGTTGTAATTTTGTATTTTAATCTTTTATCTTTGAAATTTAATAAAAAATGTTAAAATAAAAAAACATGTCTTAACAAATAAAACGCAATAATGAGAAGAATTACTTTCTTTTAAAATTCTGCAAATATCTTCAACAATTGTCAAAAGGGATCCTTAGACCATATTTTAAAAGCCACTGGTTTAAAGGAATAACTCCCCCCCCCCAGATCAATCAATCAACAGTATAATATGAAATAAAAAAAATCTTTGCTAGCTTTTGATTAGTTTTCAAATATCTTATATATTGAATGAAGATTATGTCTAGCTGTTATTTTGTTCTTCATTATTTCTCCAAAGACTTAGGGAATACCAGTTGGCTTTAATTACAGATAATGATGGCAAAGAACAGAACAGAATATTCTTTATTGGCCAAGTGTGTTTGGACACAAGGTGTACTTAATGTACATACAAACAACAAAACGATAAATCATAAGATACCAATAGGAGAAGGTAATAGGAAAGATGAGAATCATAACATGGGTAAATATCTTTAGGTATAAGAATGTGCTGTGGGAATTCGGTGTTTAGCAGAGTGATGGCTTGGGTGTGGGGACTGTCTTTGTGTCTAGTTGTTTTGACATGCAATGCCCTACAGTGGCATCCTGAGGGGAGGAGTTAAAGCCATACATTTATGTTTTCTGCAGCAGTACTACATTGGTTTTGTTTTCTTCTATTCTAGGAAAGCTGGTCACTGAACTGGGTAAGTGATTTTCTTTTTCTTCTGTTTTTTGAGAAAAACATTTGGGCCAATACAGAAATTATCAATCTTAAATACATCAATCCCAGTGAGATTAAGCATTCCTTAAAATGTATAATATAGGTATTATAGGTGATTCTGTGTTGTGTCTTTCATGGGAAAGAAAGAATTTCTTAATTATATTTTTGTACTTAATTATATTTTTGTAAAATTAATTATATTTTTGTAAAATTGTCACTCTGTGTAACAAAATAGAAAGGGACAAATAAAAGCCAGTAGCAGAATATTTGCTGATAGGAACAAAGTGTGCACTTCAGAAAATTACCAACAAACAAACCAGTTATCTCATCATGACATTCAGCATTTTCCATGGTTTCGAATAACAAAAGTTCTAGACCTCTTATCTAAAGAGGTTAAATTTAGGGTCTCCAATGTGCAAAGCATGTAATTCTGTTGTTGAGCAATAATCACTCCTTTAGGTGAATTTTTAAAAAATATGTGTAATGCTATAATTTTCAAACTCCTTCATAATTTTTTTAAGTGGACACTTAAATAGAAATAGAAATATCATAGGCATCAAAACTCCTTTTGATTTCTTTCCTGGGACAGTTTCTCAACCACTCCTAACAAATTATGGTAGATAATAAATAAGTGTAAATATTTATTATTAAATCAATCTATATGGCCACCCATACCCCAAATATGATTTAGGTGCAGCTAACAACACATTAAAAGAAAAAGAAAAAAATAGTAACAGCAGAAACATAAAACTTACACTGGTCACCAAGAAGAAAGGCAATGAATGCTCATCAAGAACAATGATATCTCACATCTAGTTTCCCATCCTCCATGCTCTGGAGCACACCCAGGTCTTCTGAACTTTCTGACAGACTGAAAGAGTTGGCTTTAATTTAATCTTGTGAGATAAGGGTGTTCCTAAGATGGCATTCTTTAATTGTGGGGATCTGGACAGTGTCTTTCCTATTGGACCTGATAAAAACAACACAATGTCCTGCAAATAATCCAGCTCCATGCCATTGAAGGTATTATAAGTGACAACCACATGTCTATGGAGATTCTTGATCATCCAGGCAACTGGACTTTCTTTTTTTCCTTTGAAAAAGTTCAACCACATCTTGAATTCCATTTGTAAGCACATTGGAAGCCAGTGGAATTCAGAGAACAGACATAACACAGATGTATTGAGGAAACAACCAAAACTGCTCATACTGGCACATTCTGGACTAGATGCAGCTTTTAGATGGTCTCTCAAAGCAGTCCCACATAATTGCAGTAATCTACTTGGGAGATGAGCAAGACATGAGTGATATGAGACATGAGTGATATGCCTTCAAGTCTAGGAAATGATACACTGGTTCACAAGCGAAGTTTGCAAAAGCCCTCCTCACCACTTGCTGCCACCTCTTGTTCGAATAGAAGCTGTGAGTTCAGGAGAACCCTCAGATTGGTTTGGGGAGGGGGGCAACCTCATTCAGAACCAAAAGATGATGACAATGGTGATGAGGATTTAAATTTGTATAGAAAAACATTGGAGGAGTCCTTAAAACTTAACAGATAACAGATAATCAGAGTTGGAAGGGATCTTGTAGGTCATCTAGTCCAACCCCCTGCCCAAGCAGGAGACCCTACACCGTTTCTGACAAATGGCAGTCCAATCTCCTCTTGAAAGTCTCAAGTGATGGTGCTCCCACTTAAAGGCACTTGGACCTGCTATGTTCTAATGATGAAGAAAGAAAATTATTTTGTAGTGATTTTGAACAGTTGGGTTTTTTTTAATTATTTTTTCAACATTAAAATGTTCCTTTGATATATTTTAATCTTTAATCTTGTTTTTAGGCTGGAGGAACATGGTGGTACCAATAGAAAAAGGTTGGTGATTGTTCTTTTTGTTATCACTCCAAAATGTAAATTCCATCATTGTTGTGCTAATCTCTGAAACTGAATATTTTACACCAAATTTTAATGAGGTTTTTACTCCATATTCCAAATATTTTTTTTTATTCAAAAGTGATGTCATGGGCTAAGTTGTGGTATTTATATGTAAAGGAATCAGGTGCTATCAGCCCAGCAGCATTTTTCAAAGACAAATACAATACACATCAGTGGATATTTTGATATCATTCTTTAAAGAAATTTTATGGGGAAATTTTATTTTTTTAGCAACACAAGGGACTTCCATAGAAGCCCTATCATCCATGTGTAAAGACCTTTTCATGAATTGTGCAAATAGCTAATTTTAGGTTCTGGCTTAACATATGGCTACTTTTTTTACTTATTTATTGTATTTATTTATCAAATTTTTACACCTTCAGCTCATTTAGGTGACTTTGGGAAGTTTGTAAATACATCACAAAATAATATGAAGACATATTAAAGTTTGGAAGTTGAGTTGTGCCAGCTGGGCTTTATTTTCTCTTGTTGGTTTGAGATGTTTCACTGTCCATCCAAGCAGCTTCTTTAGTCTGAGCTAGTTGGTTAGGGAATGAGTAGGCAGAGAATTGTTAGAATACTCCTAAAATTCTTAGGAGCATTTCCGCACCAGTCTCAGAGTTTCTTCCCTAAACTATGTAGCAATATGTCAATGAAGATTCTCAGTCATTCAGGTAGAAATGTCTGGGAGTTGAATCATGGCAAATGGGCTCTTTTTTTCATGCTGAGTCATGTTGTTTCCACGATTTAACTTCCAGACAATTCTACTTGGATGGCTAAGAATCTTCATCAACATATGGTTAAAAGTACAATAAAAAGACTTCCAAAAATTAGGTAGTAAGTACAAAATATTATATACTTAATGTATACTTAGATGTCAAATACATTGTGTATTTTATTTAAAATGAAATAACATTAGCCTATTGTGTTAAGGCATGAAGATACCACTTCCTTGTTTTGCCGCACAGTTTAGTCCAGGGAAGTGCCATTCATATCATAGACTAAATAGATTAAGGGAGACTTGGTGCAGTAGTGGAAATGGGTCTTTTAATGGGATAAGCGCTAAACGTTGTTTCAAAATAAGATTTATGGGCTGATCAATTTCTTCCACATTATAATTAAGAATGGGGCAATTGCAGCATTGTCTTTTAGGTTAACCTTTTTTATCCTCCCCTTCTTTCTCGTTTCTCACTTCTCCTTTTCCTCTCAGCAAACATAGTTCTGGACCCAGAAACGGCTAACCAAGACCTGATCCTGTCTGCAGACCAGAAAACTGTCATACAGGGATTCATGTGGCAAAGTCTACCATACAGTCCTAAAAGATTTAACATGGAGCGCTGTGTCCTGGGAAGGGAGGGATTTTCCTCCGGGAAGCATTATTGGGAAGTAGAAGTTGGAGAGGATGGATACTGGGCCTTGGGGGTGGCTAGAAATTCCATGAAGAGGAAGGGAAAGCTCATCCTTGTCCCAGAAGAAGGAATCTGGGCAGTGGGAAAAGATCGGATCCAATACAAAGCTCTTACCCTACCCAAGACCCCCCTGACTCTGAAGAAGAAGCCCAGGAAACTGGGAGTTTACTTGGATTATGAGATGGAACTAGTTGCCTTTCATGACGTCAATCACCAATTGCATATATTCACCTTCTTCTCAGCCGCGTTCAATGGGGAAGTAGTCTTCCCCTTCTTATATGTAGGGGTAGGGTGCTGGCTTAGATTGTGTCCTTGGTGATTTTCCTTTAGAAAATCTTAGAAAAAAACCTTAGAAATCTTAGAAAATCTAGAAAAGTTAATGCAGTAGAGCTCTCTCTTCACATTATATGGCACTAGACAGAGACAGGCAGTTCATTTTCCATATCATGCAAGGGCTGTAAATTGTCATATAGGGATCACTTCTGCTTACTTCAGCTTTAATATCATGGAGAAGGAGAAACTTGTGGGGTCTTGAGAGGTGGAAGGATGTCACTCACCTCAAGCAAGAAAAAGTTGGAGGCCAGCCTTTTCTATATCTTAGTTACCTTGTTCTGATTTACCTCAGGTTGTTTCCTCTACTTGACCCTCACAAGCTTGGAAGGAGATCAGGAATGGAGAAACAACCTTGGAGCTATAGACTAAGGTGGTACATGTGTGTTATATGTGTATTAAGTGAGGGGAGCAACATTTTTGAAAGTCAGGAATTATACTCTAAAAAAATTTTTTCCAGCCTCTGTAAGAATGATAATTTAGGTGAAATATGGTGAGGAGTGGGGGCTAAAATGTTAATCCTTTATTTTTCTTTTTTCAGGTTTGCTTTTAAAATAGAATACTGTATTAATGCAATGGGACCCTTAATGCACTTACCCTGAGACTTGCATAATCTTGTTCTTACAATTCAGCAAATTAGGGCTGGGTTTGGGAAGCACTATCTGGACAGCTCTGGAAATAAAATCGAGAGAGGCAGGCTGAACAGCATGTAGCTCACAGGTTGCCTGTCATGAGCAAAGGGAAGGGAATGCACAGGGTGGAAGGGCAGGAATGGGTATAGGTAGTCCTCGCTTAACAATTACATCTGGGACTGGCAACTCCATTGATAAGAGAAATGAAGGTGAATATATATGTCCCAAGATAATGTTGCAGGATCCAAACCAGATCAGTCACCGGGACCAGAGGGCTGGAGCCCATCCTCAGGGAACTTCTCTTTAGCAGTGTGTGTGCTTTGGGCTATTCCTTTTGTGGTATTTAGATGGTGCTTGTTATGTGTGACTTTTTAGACATTGATTGGGGGGTTGAGAGCTGGCTATTAAATCCTTGGCTATTGTTTCCTTGTGCTGCCAAGCCCTGCCTCCTAAGTACTTGATATGTTGATGGTATATCAGTACTCCTTATCCATTGCTAAGAGCCAGGATCATTTAGTTAGACATCCCATGACTGCAATTTGTGATTTCACTGCTTGCTTAATTCTGCTTGTTGAAAGCCAGTTATGAAGCCTGTGAAGGGCAATTATGGAGCTGCAGGATACTGCAATGGTCATAAATGTAAGGGTTGGTTACAAAACTGGGGTTTGTTTTACACTATCAACTTTGAATGGTCATTAAACAAGGGTATTTGGTAAGCAAGGACTCCTTGCACTGAAATGACAGAATAATTGCATGCTTGCAAGCATATTGCCATGAAACAAAAGAAGTTTTATCCTTTCAAACAACTCCATCTTTTTGGTACTCCTTTTGTTAATGTCCTCCACCCTGCCCCAAACTGGAGCTGAATGAGAGCAGGAAACTGTATGATTTACATCCTGAGTGCTGTTTTAGAAAAAAAAAAACCAAGATTAAGCTTCAAGAGGAAAGGAGTATTCATAGAATGCTTTGTATCGGATGAGTTGTGTCCTCCAAGGAAAACATGAAGTAATGTGGTGATGAAATTCAAAATGGAAATTTTTCTCCACAATTTTTAAAAGCAAGGGACTTCTGGGGAAGAAATGGTGAACTGAAGTTGGCTCCAACTTCAGCAACAACTGCAGCAGAATGAAGAGTCAGTGAGTAGACCAGTTCTTCATACTTCCTCTTTGGACAAAGAACAGGCTTGAGATAGCCCACAAGTGCTCCATACAATTGCTTCTTGTGAGAAGGCTGCAGGACAATCTCTGGAGTGTTTAGAGCTCTGGGAGATGCAGGAAAGCCAGCTTTGCTCAAACTGTGGTCACTGCCTTTAAAAGAACAGTGGGTTTTCATAGTTCCTTTTCTAATCACTTTTGAAATTGTTTGTTAATTGCTTTGTTGGGGGCAATATGCTGGCTCTTTCTTAGAAAGGGCTGTAAAGCTCTGTAAAGCAGTATATAAGTCTAAGTGCTATTGCTATTAGGAACCTTTGGATCAGCAGATTTTAGAGAAAGTACTTTTAAATAGAAGTCTAAGAATTCAGTATTTTTGGAATAAATAAAAAAAAGGGTGACTGGAACTTTGAATTAGGAAAGTTACAAATTGACTAAGGGTTCAGAATGTTTAGAAATAAGATTTTGGAATTAATTATAAGAATTCTTCCTGTGATAAAATGCTTTTTAAATTCTCTTAAAAATGTGATAAACCAATGATAAACTAAAAGAGTCACCTGAATAACTTTCATATATTGAATTTACAAAAGACTTATTAAAGTTTGGAAAAGTTTTGTGAAAAGGGACAAAATAAAAACTAAAAGAAATCAACTTCTAGGAAGGACATTGTTTGACAGGACTAAAGAGTGAGATTGTTAAAAGGAAATTGGTTTATTTGATCAAGATTAAAATAGATATAGCATTATCTCTGGTAACCTTTAATGAACTTTTGCTGATCAGGACTGAAAGATGAGACTTTAAAGAACTTGTTTATAGATAAGATATAGGAAGAAAAGATCACTTGCTGTATTTTAAGGGAAGATGATAAGTTGCTAAAATTGTTTATACTTGTGATGAAGGAGGAAGCCACTTCTTTATATATCTATATATTTTTTCCTTTCTTTTCAATCTAATTTTTTTCCTTTTCTTTACATAGTCCTTAAATATATGCTTATTTTTCCTTTTTGATATTTTTATTTTTCCCTTTTCTGCACATTGTATTTTTCTTTATTCATTTCTTTTAATTTGTATCTTTTAAATTTTAATTTCTAATAATTTTACCATTTTTAAAGCTAGCTACCAAGAGACATGTACACACCCACATAAGAATGGAAAATAGGTCACAAAAGTGACCTATTGTTGCTATTTCAGTTGTTCCTCTCTCTATTGACTTTTTAAGGAATAATAACTTAATAATAATTAATATGTATGATATCTGTTTATTGAGAGAAAAACCCTCTCTTGATCAAATAAAAATCTACTATAAAAAAGGTAGGTCTGTGATATACTCAGAGGGAAAACTGTCCAAGTGTGTGTTTGTGTGTATAGCTCTAAATGAAGCTTCATTTATTTGATATACTCTGTTTTCATGTCATTTTATATTCTTAAAATATATTTTAAGTAAAAGAATGAACAAGAGTTCTTTTAAATGTTAATACTTCAAAATGTAGGGAAGAGGCTAGTAGAAAGGCCTTCTTTGGAAAAAAAAGCATATTTGAATATAGTCAATTTTTACACTATCAAGCTTACACATACTTGAGGCAGGTATAAATTAGTCAGGAGGACTAATGGTCCTCTGGTATCTGGGGTTTTGTTTTTAATATTCCATAAAGCAGTCTCTGAGGAGAATCTGTCTCTTTTGCCAAAGTAAGTATATTTTTCAAGAAAAGAAATGGGTTCAAAGTCTGTGAATGTGTGAACCACTCTGGGTGGGAGACGCTAACGTCAGTACTGTATGGTGGGTGAATTTCTACCCCAAAATGAGGGAAGAATCATGTTTGGTTTCCCATCTATTTGTCCATCATAAAAACATACAATTTCTTGGAAATCAGCTAGATAAATAAAGAGAAGAAGCAACTGAGTACCTGAACTTCATTTAAGGTGGATGTAACAAGATCCATTTTGACACAGTATGGTTTGGAGAATGCACTCCTTACAAACATGTCTCACAAGATTTTAGAATGAAAACACTTGATCTTTGAATAACCACAAATGGAGCAGATTCTGAAGAAAATTTACATTTGCAGAAACCGCCCCACCCCCCCACTTATTAACATTTGATATGAGTTCTATCTTTTTACAATATTGTGAGAATGATGGGAATATGGATAATGTCAGTGGTAGAAAAATTAACTGTCTGGAAAAGCCCACAGGTTCAATTTTCAATTACATGTCACAATAATACTTGCAATGTAGATTCACCATGCAATTTTGCAAAGGGGCAGAGCTTGTGTCATGATGGAAAAGAAAGAAACTTTAAAAGGTTGGGGCATTAAATTTATTCTTACTTGCATGCAGTCCTGCTAATACAAAACATTTACAAGAAATTGAATATTCCACTTTTAAGATAGCATAATGAAAAAGCATAACAAAAATTCACAAATAATCAGTAGCACAATAATATAATCAAACCAGAAGAATACACTGGCCATTACATATATGCAATAATATTTTTGTTGCAGGATTAAAATTATATTTAATTATGATTATAATTATAATTGAAATTATGTGCATAAGAAAGAAATGACCACACAGATCTTAGTTCCCCAATTTCCCCTGAAGCTATTAGCCCATTAAAACCTTTCAACTAATTTACCTCAGAGGATTTTTAGCTAGTTTAAATTCTCAGGAGAAAGGGAAAGATTAAAATGTGCTGCATTTTCTGTCAGAATCACTATTTTGCCCTCAGCATTGAGTTCTATTTTGCCTTCATCTTGAAAATAATATTTTAAAAAGCATTTCAGTTTCCAGAATCAAATAACATTTGGATGGGATTATAACCTAGACAGAATAAAGTTCCACTCCTCAAAATTACAGCAAATAAAATACACTAGATTTGCAGTAAAACAGATGATAGGTAAGCCTTTTTTCATATAATATGAAGAGGTAGGAGAACACTCATTCTATTTTATTTGTTTCTCATCTTTATTATTTTTATAAATAACCCAAGGTGGCAAACATATACAACACAACTTCTGCCTCCTATTTTCACCACAATCACCCTGTGAGGTGATTTGGGCTGAGAGAGAATGACTGGCCCAAAGTCACCTACTGGTTTTGATGGCTAAGACAGGTTTCTAGCCTGGTGTGTTTTATTCTGTAGATATATCTATTAAAGCACCTATATGTTGCTATCTACTAGAAACCAATTAAGAAAAATAAATGACATAAAAGGTTATATATATTAAGACCATCATTTGTTTAAACATCATAAGGGATGTTGAAAAGTTATAGACTGCAATCATATAATGGCTATAAAATGACCAGCTAAGGATGGACATTGTTGTTTTTTAATGTCTCCTGGAAAACATTCAATTTTCAGTCAGGTCAGACATTTTCAATAACTTCACCCTTTTCTTCAGGAGATTCTAACTGGTGAAAAACAGAAAGACGTAGGAGGAGAAGACATAATTCACATGGAACTGAAGAATTTTATTCTCCCAATTTGATAAATTAGAGTGGGCAGAGGTAAAAGAGGACAAGACTCTTAATGATTGCTGTGGGAGGACATATATTTGAACAAATAAAGCTTCTCATGCAAGTTGCACTGTTAATTTATTCCCATTAATTCTCTTAATCCTCTGAAAACTACCTGAACATGACAGAAAACCTTTCCCTGTGAGAAACTAGTTACCTTTTACAAGAGCTACTATGTATGAGGAAGTGAGGCGGTTTGGTTTAGTCATGAGACTGAGTTCTAATCTTGCCTTAGGCATAAAAATAACTTCTATGCCTTGAGGACCTTGCACATGGTATTCCAGGCAAAACTGCAGTGAACTTTAAT